CAGACCTGACGGGTCCGTATACGCTGGCTTTTCATCTGAACCTGGTCTTGAAATCGGCCTAATTTGCATTTTAACAAACAGAATAAAAGCTTCACAAACCAAAGACTGCATTTTAAAGTGTCTTTAGCCTTTATTGGACGATCTAGTCGGGCTTTGACTCGTCTAAAGGACGTGGTTTTTATTGTGGTCTGAAAAAAAGCAGAGAAAGCTCCTCTTTTACACTTTCACACATAGAATAAAGGAGTCAAAGATTTAAAAGTGACCTGTTACCCAAGATGTCAAAGGTTTTACAGAATTAAATGAGTCATTAAATGTTTGGGGACAAAACAGAGAATCGGTCGCTCAGTGTTGTAAGTGAAGTTTCCCTTAATCCTCCGATTACCTTCAAATTTACTGACATCTTTTGGACCCCAAAAATTTAAACCTCCAGAAAATGATCAGAATTAAAACTGTTCCCCACGTTTAAGTGCAAAAAGCCCTTTAAATAAAACTGGAGAAAAAAAGTCAATCATTAACCCCAAAGACAACAGGAGGGTTGAGTTTTCCCTGAACTTCAGTCTGAGATCAGAAGCTGTGACTCGGAACTTGAGCGTGGTTCTGGACATGAGAGCTGAAGACCTGCCAGCAGCTGCTGATCTCTGCAGGAGGTACAGCATCAGTAACGTGTTCATCTTTGGTTACAAGTGAGCATTTGTGCTCGCAGGTTCACTGTAACTACACATGGAAGCTAAGTCACTCTGGACACCTGTCTGACCGGCTTGTCTGCAAAGAGGCGGAACGCAGCCAACAGCGCAGCGCACACGGAGCCGTTCCTGCGCCTTTTTACGCACAAGAACTCTGTGATGGGACCAACCTGAGCGGTGCAACTTCACTTCAGGTAGAAACGCTGTTTCCAGAAGTCTGCGCTGACGAGCGATTTCTGCCTCGTAGCCTTCGACCCTCTTCTCGAAGGCTCCCAGGATCTCCTGAGCGGCCACAGTGAGCCGATCACAGACGAACTTACGCACACTCTGGACCGGATACATGGCTGGATTCATACTGAGCGACTGAAACTAAATGCTAAGAATTAAAAATCCTCCCTGAAGTGACAGGAGTTGGCTTCACACGTTTCTGTTTACTTCCGCAAACTCTGTTCGAGCGGAGACACGCAGCTGCTGCTGGCGCATACAGCCACCTACTGTCCCGGCGTGCGCAACTTGGAGAGGAAACACGAAGCACGTTCACACCAGACTGGAATAGGTACAGTCGTCCTCAGGTGTGTTCATACC